CTGGTTCCACAATCTGACTGACGAGGCGGTTGAGCAGGATTCGAGCAATCGCCTTGACCACACAACGCAGCAAGTTGATGCCACGGTAATTCGTGCAACATTGCTTGCCTCCTTTCCCCTTGTACAGCGGTAGCACAAGCGCATCCCTCAGCTCAGTGGGCGCCTCCCCCTCAATCCATACGCGTTGCACCAAGTGTTGCAGCACAGGCACCAACGCGGGTCCGCTGTGTTTGAATACTTAAAGTGGGATGCCGTCGGCACCGGCACACTTGCCGTTTCACAGCTGAGAAAGTGTTCTCTGCATCTCTCCAGTGTCGACGTGTCAGCCAGACTCGCCTTCACATCGTGCTGCTTCAGGCCGTTCAGTGTAGGCCAGTCGATTTCTGAACGGTTGTCCAAGAGACAGTCAAAGTTTTTTCGCCAGATCTGCATTATGCCTACAGTCTGTGCACAGGTAACGCCTGAACTACCATCGATTAGCGTCCTCAGTTGCTCCAATCTCGGTCCACACATCACCTTCAATGAGTCAAAGAATTCCTTGTGTTGGCGACGTTCGGCGTAGCATTCTATCTGCTTCGCCTTCTCCGCCCACCATGCATTTTTTATGTGACGGAGCTCTCGGGTCAGTCGTCATCGAATTCTGCGGAACTCACTCTTCTTCCCCAAGTCACTGGGCTCTGCCACACGTACAGCAAATGCTGCATTCTTCTCACATACCAATGCGCCAATCGTCGCATTATTGTCATCAAAACACTCGGGCCGCTTACAGTTTGCGCGCCCGATAGTCTCCTCGGCAGCAGCTGTCACCTGGTCGCGCATGTGGTGCCACAGGTTGCCCACTGTGGTTATGCGTTCCACGTCACACAAGCGTGCAGTCATCACCTTCTCTAGCTCAATACGTTTCGCCACAGTACCGAGGGAGTGGATGTTAACTTTACGCCGATTCACGGCGTGAGTGCAATACCTAAATTTACGAAAAGTGATATACAGTTTGGTCCGCACCAATTTGTGATCAGTGCTACACACAGCTCTACGCCGTACACGTGTCATGCATACTTCACCCATATCACGCTGAGGTACGATGACATAGTTGAGCAGATGAGCGTGACCACTCCGTGGGTGCGTCCAAGTTGCTACATCCCTCGCTCTCATTGCAAACCGAGTGTTCGTGATCGTCAGGCCATGAGAGCAGACTTTCACTGTTCGCATTCGCTGAACCAATGCCATTCGGATTGATGACATCTGTCCACACCGATGCATCACGCCCTACGCGCGCGTTAAAATCACTCATCAGAAATAGTCGGTCGCTCCTCGGCACAGACCGTATCACGGAGGATAGCTGAGTGTAGAATTGATCACACGTATCATCAAGATAACATATGATCGGACCGTAGGTGCTTATGAAAGTGGCAAACTTGCCTCTTTCGAGTCGTAGGCGAACAGTCATCAGTCACGCGCTGATGCCAGTCGGCTCACTCACCAGCTGGACATTTAGGGATCGGATAGTGCAAATCCGACCCCATGTTCACATGGTGCTGTGATGGCGTTGCTCACCCAGTAGAACGCATAGCCAGCACCAGCTTCACACAGTTTACCTCGCTCAGCGAGCCGAGTCTAACTGAGCGCCACGATATCGATGTTGTAGCGCGCCAGTTCCATCGCGACCAGTGCAGTGCATTGCTCAGGGCGCTCACTCGAATTTATTGCAGTAGTGTGCGCACGTTCCAGCACTCGATGCTGAATGCTTTGCGCGCAGGCATACGGCTGTACTGGTGGGCAATCGCACGCGAGGTGGTGGTTTTACTTTGGAGGTTTGCTTGAGGGACTTCCCCCGGAGCCTTTAGCTCAATGACCTGATCCACTAGGCAGTGGGGAGCAGATCGAGCTCGGGAATGTGATTGCAGAGACAGACTTGGATCTGCTTGACGGCTGTCACACGCAGTCTTTGAGGTTCAGGAACGATGTATGTGTTTTGCCGCCGTAGTATTTTATGCACCTGCGATCATGGCCAGACGCATGTAGGTTTTGGTGGGTTTGCATCAATTCGACCAGGGTCTGCCTGGCTTGAGGCGGGCAGTAGCAAGCCGTTGAACACCTGGAGGTGCGCTTCCACCTTCAGAGAGAATGCGGGGTACTATTGCTCTTTTCCAATGTAGCGGTTACCTTATAACCCATAGATATGTTGTCCCTCAAGTCTAGGTTTTACGGGAAGAGGGCCATGGACTACTTCCTAACCTCCGAAGATGATTGACTAGGATACTGACAGGGCGCCCACACCTGACAAGTGAACGACTCGGGTCCTTAGCCAAAACCTTCGATTAGATGTACACCTGAAAGGCAGCGGTTCTTGAATATGGTCACTGACTCTTTCGAATTAGTGTTCTGGGGGAACGGGCACTTTGTTGGTTCGGTTTTTAGGACAGCATCTTTAGCATCAGTCCTTTGAACAGCGGAACTTATGCGCTTGGCTCTCCTCATTATGTCAAAATTACCTTTAAACGGTAGTTCTTTCTGGTCGCAGTGACGACCTTCTCTATCGTCATTCTCGGCTGGCTGTGTTTTGCAATGAACCGGCGCGGATAACCTATTTTTCTGAAGCGCGTTATTCAACAGCTACTTTTCCTCTTTCAAGCCATCAGGGCTGCATTTTCTTCTCTCGCGCGAATAAACAAAGTTTTGGCTCGTGTCTGCTTGTACCCCATTGGTGTGAAGCTGATAAAATGCAGGGACTGCCCTGACCATGTTGGTTTTCGGCAAACAGACTTCTTGTTGAGACCGTTTGCTCCGACTATTCATTGCGTCCAAAATTACTAAATAATTGTTACATTCTATTTCACTGGTTACTTTCATACTGTTATTTACACTATTGAAAAGTTTCGCGAGACGTGATCTGTGTTGTTGATGAACAGAACAATAAGATATTGTCCACGTAGGTTTTATGGTAGGAAAGGCGGGAAATTTATGCACTCATTTTTGTATTCACTATGGAAATGAAAAAATTCGCTATTACTAGACCCCATAGACTCCCCATTGCTACACCATCTAGCTGGCGGTATGGGGTTTTTCGAAAGTGGAAACTGCTATTCTCAGTGCAAATTGACAGAGTGCTTTTCAACAGCTCACTTGGTATTGGAAGAGATAAGCTTGAATGTTCCACGGACTCGCACACATAACCAATGGTCTCACATAGTGGTACATCTGTAAACAACGATTTTACATCTAGTGAACAATATCTGGAAAGTCTATGCTGCCAAGAGTTTCGATGAGTTTTAAGGAGTCCTTGTTACTATGTGGAATGGCATGCTTCTTTAACGGTGTAAGAATGTCCACAAGCCAGCGAGCAAGCTTGTATAGCGGGAAATTTACCATTGATAAAATTGTTCTGAGTGGTGTACCACTCTCATGAGTTTTCGGTAACCGGTACATTTGCGGCGTGATGGAGCCACCCGATTTTAGACTATTATACTGCTTCTCGTCGATCGTTCGATGTGCAAGAAGTATTTTTATACGATTTGTGTTGCATCATAAATAGCGTCCACTTTTTTGAGACGTTTAAATTTGCTGTTCTCGTTAAGTATAATAAAAACTCATGTGTCAGCTGTACGCCGTAATGGCGCTTCGCTGCCGTGAGACCACCACCAGTCGCACGCTGGCTGTGTATACGACGAAGACGCCTCCCCCTACGCGGATTCGAACCCGCGCCGTAAGATTACGAGACAAGCTCGTTACTTCTAGGCTCTGAGCCGACCTGCATCTTTTGCACATAATCTGCCGTGTTCATAACAACTGCGCCGGAACCCTTGTCCGGTCTAAGTACCACTACATTTTTGGTCTTCAACTCTTGCAGTGCATGAAGATGACATTATGTAAGTCCATATCCTTACTTCACTGGGGTCAATATGAACTCGTGCGCAATATCAGCTAATTTGTTTGTAACCAGCTACGTGTATCGACACTATTCGGATGATGGGATGCAAGATAGTGTTCAGTAATTTCTGCCAATATACCATCGACCGTATCATGGTGAAATACAGGAATCGCCTACAAAACTCATTGACATATAACCGAGAGGAGATCATTTCTCGGAACCCCAATGACTATGTGTTAAACTTGTCAAGTGTTCCGTTGGATAACTTACAGTTAGAGGCATTGTCGTTCGGATTGGATTATAACATTCCTCCTGGTAAGGTAAACTGCTTGTTAACTGAGGCCCAGTTTGAGAACTTCGATCATAAGAACATCCAAGTGCATAATTTCCGCTGTTCACAGGACTTATGCTGTTCTTATTAACCAAATCAACTAAGTGCCTGTTCCCCAAACGAAGGAAAGACAACCCGTCGGTGCCCATTTACACTGCATTTACTCATTCACTTGTTGCTACGGGGCATGCTAGATTCGCCGTACCGCAAGTAGGTTTAATTCCAGTGTGATGTAACATGTGCCTAAGTGGGCGCAGTGTTAAATTACCCAGTCTTCCGCTTGGCCACTCGTCATCCATTCGACCTTACCACACAGTTCACAGTCTTGTTGAAACATACCAACACCCGCTTCCTATGTTACGCCGAAGATGTCGCAATCAGCCGGATCAAGTCGGCACTCTGTGTACAAAAACAACTCTTCCATGGACATAGGGGTGACACATTTGTACTTTACCTTGTCTCCATCTTATTCGGTCCCACGCTAAATGTAGTTATATATATTTTTCTGTTATCGTATTGGTATTGACGATACAATACGAAATGTTAACCTTTGCCAGCTTTCGTCTTCTCACTGCTATGTTAAAAAACAAAGTGCCAGAGGCACTGATTCGCTTGCCGGTACAAGAAGCCGGACACTGGTTAGGCGAAAGCTTATGTCGTTCATGGATCTTGACCTGACCTGAACGGGAGCTACCGACATCTCGGCAGCTGTGACAGCGACATCCGGCTCGTCACAAGACGTTAGTCCGGTGCACTTTAAATCTATGCAACCACCTACGGAGTATTTATTTTGCATTGCAGCTCCTAGGTCTCCTATGACCTTACGCGTTGGACGCGGAAGCCCTCGGTGTCATCGACCGGATACATATTACACCAATTCCTGACACTATCAGTTGCGAAGTTCCTGCTTGCTAAATGGCGGACGTTGGTACCACCCTTACAGTTAAAGAAGAACCATATGATTCTTCTTTTGTGGATGATACAAGCACTTTTGAAGCTTGCATGCGCACAAGATATTCCTCAATGGATGATTTTATACACGATTTTCGTGCTTTTCAACTTCAAACTTGCACCTCATTTTTCATTTATAACTCGGAGACTGCGGACCACTGGCGAAGATCTACGGGTCGCCATTTGCCTCCTGGCTTCCCGTACCAGTATGCCAAGTTTTGTTGTGTCCACCGCCGGAGGAAGGGCAATCAAGGAAAAAGGTTGCGTCATATTTTTATGCGTGTAACTAACATTTTTGTAGATATAAGAACTATGATTGTGCAGCAACTGTAATCATTCGCTTCGTCCGTTCTGAATACCACGTTGTGAAATGGTCTGTTAAACACAGCCATACTTTCCAGGTCGGCAAACCATGGCTGTACGTCACGAACCGCAGACTCACTGCAACAGAGGAGTCGCAGATCTATGAACTCGTTGGTTCTCTAAGCACTCATGCTATTCGTCAGTATGCATATTCGTGTTTTCATAAGCAGCTGGATCCATCGGACGTGAGGTCTATTCGACTTCGATGTGCAAAAGACGGTTCCATTAAGAAAGACGATGTTGAGGTTATTATGCCTTTTGAACTTATCATTTTCTTACAGTTACCTCTCGAAACGGTTTACGTGTGCGATATATTGACTGGAGACCATGATGCAAGAGTCAGTTCTGATATCGACGATATTTGTGATGATTCCATGGGAGTCTCCTCCAGTCATTAAATCTAGCATATGTTTTACCATCTCCGTGCAGTATGCTGCGCAACGGGACGTAATCATGGGCGGCTCTTTCAATGCAGTAGCCTTCGTTTGGTAAAGCAGATCAGTGTTTTCTGGTCTTACTTTACCTGTGACCACTTCTACTACCGCACAACGTGGAGCGGAATGAGCCAGGCCGATTGAATTCACCGCACATTGCATTCGTTGGAGCGGGCGTGATCACTATGGTAACATGAAGTTATTCTGTGCTCAGCATCTGCTTTTCTGAGGCACTCGTCTTCATTCGTTGCGTTCTAAAAGCTGTTGCTTTGTCATCTTCGCAGGCGTCTATCGTGGATTCTGGCTGACAACCATGGATGGTGTTCTTTTTCACAACCACGCATGTGCTGTATTTTCCTAATATACTCTCATCGATTCATTTTAGTCCTTTTTTGTATAAATGCCCGTATAATGCTCGACGTCTTATGGTAGGGCAGAGTAATAGCACGTAAAATGACGATGATCCCGATGATATCTTTAGTCGTTGTCTAACTTGCTTCTTTTTCAACGTCTGAGCAGTGCGCCTGGGTTAGTTGGCCCCTACAACTACTTAGCCCTTTTTATCCGTTCCCTTTCTCGACGCTTTCACGTTTGGGGTTACCAACCTCGGAATTGTCTGATGCAATCCTTTCCTTCTCTCTGTGTCTCCTGCGCCAATTAGTTACGGTAGAAGTCGTCACTCGGTTTGCGTTAAAACCCATACCAACAGTGATTGGAGGGTCATTTTAAGTCACTCTTTGTGTGGATGGATTGCGACGCGCAATCTCAGTGTGGACCGCGGTTCGCATTGAAGTGCACTTTGGTCAACAGTGCACTACTACTTCGCTGCGTTGAGGCCAATCTTATGCATAAGCGGATACACTACGCCACACATCCCCGTCCATGGAAACTTGCTTGACTTAATTGGATTACAGTGACACCTTTATCATTATATCAAGCTATAGGTCTCTCCCGCTCACAGCACACTCTGGCTGGTTATTTCACTTCAGTCCCATATAATTTCATTTTCGTGAGTTGTAAAAGGTGGTGGAACTGACGGTTTATTCCGCTGCTATCAGCCGAGCTTTGCCTTTGAAGGGGAAAAAGTTGCATCGACGCTTCGGACTCTTTACATAGAATTTGGTCATAGTCCATAGAGCAGTAGGGATGATGCGTGTCGTTGCTAAACTGTGTTTCTCGAGGTATTGTTGCTCAGGATGTGGTCGTCCACTTGCTTTGATACACTCCTCTGGACACTAATAACGCATTCCGGGAGATTGTTCTGTTTATTCACAACCAGGGAGAATAACGTGATATCGGAGCGGATGTGCATCCTTCGCGGTTTAAGTAGTTTCCAACTGTGACCCCGTGTCGAGCAGTCCTCGTTAATCTGGAAGAACTGCTACAGTTCCTTCCCCTAATCTCCTCTTGGAATGCGTCGAGTGTATGTCAGTTCACCCGAAGGGACGACGATAGTCTAGAAAGAACAACTTCATCTTCTTAAGCCGAAGGGGATAAGATGAACCATGCAGCACTGACAGACTTTGATCCACGCCCCTGAAACTTCTCAATCAAAGAGCACTCATGCTTAGTTAGTGGGTGTATAGCAGGCGATCCGTATTCTAGTATTGGGCGAACACTTTGGAGGAACAGGGGGCTGAAGACCTCAGGCGTCATTTTGGAAAATGATATTCGTATGGCGCATAGTATACAGTTGACCGAGGCGACCTTCCGCAACGTGTTCTTGGTTGTTTTCGAGACCTTGGATACAATTACTCCCAGATCTTTCCCACCAACCGCATTCTTCAATAGCAAACCACAAATGTGGTAGCTGCGGAAAGATTCTGGAGCACCGATCGGTAGAACACAGCATTTAACGCGAGTACTTAGCACTTGCCACTTGATAGACCAATTGTTCAGCAAATCGGGCATCATTCGCAATTTGTCGGTATCTTCATTCCTGAACGCCTCCGACCACAGTTTGACATCATCAGCGTCAGTCATGCAGTCAATTTGAAGCATCCCTGTAAGTTGGTCAATAAATATTTTGAAATGTTCAACACCAAAGAGTCCTGTGGAACACCACTGATCATGAGAGCAGGCCCAGAGATGATCTCCTTCGCCCTTATAATACGGGCAGTTAGGAAATCAGCGATCCAGGATAGAAACTTGCCGGCGACGCCAATCTCCTGGAACTTAATAAGAAGCCGTTCAAATGGAACCCTATCAAACCCATTGCTGAAATCAACGAAAACAAGGCGATTGTCAGTATCCATTGATTTTGCCTATTTCTCGGGCTACAAGCAGTTTGGTGATAGAAGAGCGAGCCCCGTGGAAGCCGCGCTGAGCATGGGAGGTGAACTACAACTTTCAAGGAGGAGAGCCCATTTAAAACACTTCCCTCTGATCTTACAAATGAACGATTTTAAGCAGTTTAGACGTTAGTTCACGGTGTCTTGGCGATATCCTCTTTTATACATTATCTCAGTAGCCACTTTCTATTTAATTGGGAAACGACCTGTCACAGGAGAGCTTCGCAATAGTAGACAAATAGGTCTAGCAATGCACTTCGCCACCTCTTTGAGGAACAAGGGGTGTAAGCTATCTGGATCTGGCGAAGAATTCGGATTCAAATGGATAAGTAGTTCTAATACTGTGTCCCTGTTAATTTCATTGTGCTGCAAAGGAGACGAGTAACTGAGCACATTAGTTGTTAGCGGTACCCCCGTCCAATACACAAGGAATATTACAAGGCTTAAAGACTTGCTTTCGCCATATCTGTTGTAAATCTACCTTCGTACTGCGGCACTGCTGCTATTCTGCGCCTGCGAGACTACGACCACCCGATTGCTCAGTCACGCGCCCAATCAACCAACGGGATACAAAAGGCCAAGGCTCGGTAAACAGGGAGTCTATTCTACACGATAGGTCAGTTCTATTTATTGGTGAATGAAACATACTAATTTTGGAAGCGTTTGGCTCTCAGCCAATGTGAGTTAATTCCGTCCCATGGATTTTCCATATTTGGCAGAATGGTTCGCCTCCGTTGACTCGGGCTTGTATTTGCTGACCAATCAGTTTGCACCCGATTCCCAAATTTGGCAAAACAGTCGAAGGTCGTTCTGTTACGACGCTGCCCTTCGCCTCTCTGTCTCTCTGCGCTACCAACCAGCCGGGGAAAACAAAACGCAGAGCCTGCTAGACCGAAGTATATTAGGCACAAAACATGGCTACTTTTATAGGTCATTTGCGCTTACCTCGCCTCTATCACTGAGGTGAGTCACACCGCTTGTCGGAACATATTCGGCCTTCTCTCTCTCACATCCGCAACATAGCAACCCGTGCGGCGACGACGGTCTGATTTCGTCAGCTTCCGGTTTGACCATGACAACGAGCCTGTCAGCCGCTCACGTGATCTCGCCGATCTCGTCCCGCTAGTGTGCACCATCGTAGTCAGCTGTTTCGCCTCCGTAACACGTTCCACGCTCGTGCTGGTGACCTTCGCATGCAGCAGACAGCTCACGTGCTCCTCGGTAAGCCTGTGCCCAACCTCGGCCCCGCTTACCTCTCTATTACCTCCCCCTTTGAATTGATTGCTCCTACCTATTTTCCGCACTTGGGCTTGGTCGTAGCTTTTTACCCTGGGGTCCACTTGTAGACATCGCGGTTGCCTTCTTCTTCGACTTGGCCTGAGTTTCACGTCGTGTGGCGTCTGTGCGACCGGCTGTGTTCCGTTTTGGAGAG